ACAAGCGGCGCACGCTGGCGTGACACGTCTGTTGTTCGTATGAATTGCATTGTGCTGCTGCTGCTTGCTGCTTCTGCTGCCGCTACTGCTGCTATTGCTGCCGCTGCTGCTTCATACTGCATCTGCTGCCGTGCTGCTGCTGCGCTTCTTTACTTTGACACCTCTCTTCACTGCGCATCTCTTTTACTGAAACACTAAACAGCTACAACAATATTCTACTGCTCTGGCTTTGATACAGGATTATGGCTGTTATTATCTACGGATGCTGCAACCGCTGCTGCTTCATACTGCTACTGCTGCTACTGCTAATGCTGCTTCTGCTGCTTCATACTGCTACCGTTACTGCTGCTGCTACTGCTGCGCTGCTGCTGCTGCTGCTTCATGTACTTTGACATCCCTCTTCACTTCGCATCTTTTTTACTGAAACACTAAACGGCTACAACAATATTCTACTGCTCTGGCTTTGATACAGGATTATTGCTGCTATTATCGACGGATGCTGCAGCTGCTGCTGCTTCATACTGCTACTGCTGCTGCTGCTTCATACTGCTACTGCTGCTGCTTCATACGGCTACTGCTGCTACTACTGCTGCTGCTGCTTCATTTACTTTGCCATCTCTCTTCACTTCGCATCTCTTTTACTGAAACCCTGAACAGCTACAACAACATTCTACTGCTGTGGCTTTGATACAGAATTATTACTGTTATTTTCTAAGGACGCTGCTGCTGCTGCTGCTACTGCGGCTTGATACAGGACTTTTGCTGTTATTATCTGAGGCTACTGCTGCTGCCGCTGCTGCTACTGCTACTGCAACCCATTCTCTCAGAAGCTTATCCTGCTTCTAATGGATGCAGCCCGGCTGAGTATGCCGCGCTGCGCCGGACTCGCACCTATGCTCCCAGGGTCGCTTCGGCGGTCGTGCTTCATCTCTCTACTGAATCTTCTGATTCTATCAGATGCAGCTGGCCAAGTAGCTGCGCTGAGCCGTCAATCGGACTCCTAATCAAAGGCATCCATACCTGGTTCTTCACTCTTCTGATCACAGGCTCCCCATCATGCTGCCCATCCTGCAGCGGCGCTGAACTCCGGCTCATCTTCCAAGTACATGTCTGCCCTCCTCGCAGCATCTTCTGCTCGCCTTCTGTGGCTTCTCTGCATAAGCGTTTCACCACTGCTCACTCAACCTTCAATGCGGTCCGAGACACACGGCTTCCCGTCCTATCCTACTGGCCTAATTATCTACTCTCCAACCCAAGATTCTAAGCGTAAAGGCGCCTGCAACATCAATGGCCCTCTCCGGTGTGTCTCGCTGCCCCTTCCGTGGGTTTTTGGGGGATTCTTCCAGGACCAGTGGTTCGCCGGCCGTGGCCCGCTACTTTCCCCGGAGCATTTCCTCTGCCCTACACGAGACATTCCCAGTGGTCGTGGCCTGCGCGCTGCGGAATCACACGTGGCAGAGAAAGAGGATCTCTGTCATGCGTGATCATCTCGACGTAGTGGAAGCATTAAACAAAGGTCGCTCTTCTCACCCAACATAATGTCCCCTGACCATTCAACCTTCATCTCAAACATTCAAAGATCAGAGGCGCCTGCAACACAATAATAGCTCGCTTCGACACATCTCTCTGCCCCTACAGGTCCATGATGCGTTACACTCGCCTCCGCGGCAAAAAGGAGATTTTAACGGACCTCTAATTCTCACTCCAGTCAACCTTCCCATAACAGCAACCTGGTTCAGAGCTCAGCTAAGATCCCTACTGCTCCTCTGCAATTTGTCTCCCCAGCTCTATACAGCCCACTCCTTCAGGATAGGCGCTGCCACGCGCACGACCTCGCTGGGGCTCCCCCACTCTTCCTCTGCAACGGCTGGGGCGCTGGTCCTCTTCGGCTTCTCCACCTACATCCGGCCAGATGCGACCGCTATCATGGCAGCACAACGTCTACCGGCTTCATCGTAAGCTCCCAGCAAAGCAAGTAAGCAATAAGATTCTGGTGGCGGCACGCACTTTCCTCAAACGCTCAAAGATTCCTTGCTTCAGCGTCTGGCTGAATATGAGCGTGGCTCATATTCTCAGTTCGCTCAAAGATTCCTCTGCTGCGGCTGGCCGAGCATGCGCGTGCGCGCATGCTCTCAGTTCGCTCAAAGATTCCTCTGCTGCGGCTGGCTGAACATGCGCGTGCGCGCATGTTCTCAGTTCGCTCAAAGATTCCTCTGCTGCGGCTGGCTGAGCATGCGCGTGCGCGCATGCTCTCAGTTCGCTCAAAGATTCCTCTGCTGCGGCTGGCTGAACATGCGCGTGCGCGCATGTTCTCAGTTCGCTCAAAGATTCCTCTGCTGCGGCTGGCTGAGCATGCGCGTGCGCGCATGCTCTCAGTTCGCTCAAAGATTCCTCTGCTGCGGCTGGCTGAACATGCGCGTGCGCGCATGTTCTCAGTTCGCTCAAAGATTCCTCTGCTGCGGCTGGCTGAGCAATGCGCGTGCGCGCGCATGCTCTCAGTTCGCTCAAAGATTCCTCTGCTGCGGCTGGCTGAACATGCGCGTGCGCGCATGTTCTCAGTTCGCTCAAAGATTCCTCTGCTACAGCGGCTGGCTGAACATGCGCGCGTGCGCATGTTCTCAGCTCGCTCTTGCTCTCAGGCCCGCGCAGTACGTCCTGCTATCCCAATCGCAGGCCCGCTTTTGGGGATCATGCACGCGAGCAAGCGCCGTGCTCAACAGCATCCCGCCCGGGCCTAGGGCGCCAAACATGCTCAATCAATAAACATGCTTAAATCTAATAAGTCTAATGCGTTTCCTCATGGGTCTCTCCAAGGTGAAATGGAGCTTTCGCGAAAGTTCACCGTGGTAGACCCGGCTGTTGCTGCCAGGCCACAGGCTGCTCTTCCTCGACTCATCAATACCAGCAACGCCCACACCCAGTCAACCAATAACCACCAGGACAGCAAGTTAAAAGCCGGAGACGCCCACTTCCCGATCTTCTGAAGTCTGCAAGCCGCCGCCGCCCCACCTCCTCCTTCTCGCATGAAGCGTGTTGCCTACTGCCTCTGCCGTCACCAGTGCCTAGGCCCCGGGGGGGATCATGCACGCGAGCAAGCGCCGTGCTCAACAGCATCCCGCCCGGGCCTAGGGCGCCAAACATGCTCAATCAATAAACATGCTTAAATCTAATAAGTCTAATGCGTTTCCTCATGGGTCTCTCCAAGGTGAATTAGTACTACTGTACACACTACAAAAAAAACAGTGACTCTTCACTCCACACTGGCTGTACTCCACACTGGCTGTTCCAAGCTGCCACAAAACACTAAGTATACAGTATGTGCAAACCGAAACCTGCAAGTCAACTCATATGCAAGAATTTAGCATGTGTTAATTGGCTTAGCTAATTAAGCTCCTTAACACACATTCAGCACGTGAAACATGTGTGAATCACAATACAAGTGACTTTTAAACAGGCATATGCTTTGAATATATTGAACAAAGCCGTGCCAGTAATGTTAAGGATAATTGTACAGGCTATGGCAGATTAAATGTCAACTTGTGCCATTTAAATCTATGAAATTAACAATTGGTTAATAATGATATTCACATAAATACTAAATTCAACGTTATCATCCTCATTTATATGTCAAACACTACACCAATAAGGGGATTAAAAGAAGATTTACTTGCCAAAAGTTCGAGGAGCGCCGAGAGCATAGACTGTGGTCGAGAGGTTCTAGCCATGATTAATCACGCAGCAATAAAGTGTCCGGATATGACGTCACTGTCAGGTGTGTGCGATACCCAAATAAAAAAAATAAAAAAGATTCTTAAAATATTTAACATAACTGTATACACCACAAAAACGATACCCAAATAAAAAAAATAAAAAGCATCAAACGTCTCTGCAGGTCATTCACCAGGTCCCCCCGTGTGGTAAATTTGGACATGCGCAGTAGCGGAGAACAAACATCAAAAACAATGGCGCCGCGCAGACAAACTAGCTTTGTGGGCTTCCAGCGCGGCACGGAGGATAATTCTACTCCTTTGTTCGTCCTCTGGGATTTTTGATCACCGTTCTCATGATCATTTTGACCCCACAGGATGAGATCTTGCGTGGAGCCCTAGATCGAGGGAGATTATCAGTGGTCTTGTATGTCTTCCATTTTCTGATAATTGCTCCCACAGTTGATTTGTTCACACCAAGCTGCTTGCCTATTGTAGATTCATTTTAAGTGGGAGAACTTGTACAATCTGTGGCTGACTAAATACTTTTTCGCCCCACTGTATCAACAGCACATCTCAACTATATATTGAATTGGATGAGAGTTTGGAGTTACTTAAAGATAACAAGAAAATAATAAATGCCTGGGTTAAAATTGATGTGGACGTGAACCCTTAGGGCACCAAAGTCACAGAATATTGCTACTTGAGCTCCTGAATCCAGAGCACTTTCTATACAGCGACCTGGCTTCCCAAAAACATCTGCCTACAATTTTTTTTTTTTTTACATCTTTTATTTATTTCTGTTATTGATTTTAGTTAGTAAATAAGTACATTATCTTTATAGCGCATTTTTACAGAGCAAGGTCACCGAAAGCGCTTTACAATGTTCAGAATTCAGATATTGTTCCACTCTACACACACGATGAAGACGGAAGCGAGACGTCGGACACACTGGCGCATCAAAGCGTCTGACCAACACCATCCATTCACTCACTCAATACATTCATACCTATTGTGCATTATTTAGTGATAGTGGAAACCGGAGCACCCAGAGGAAACCTACGCAGACCCAGGGAGAACATGCAAACTCTACCCACAAAGGCCTTGATCCGACCGGGTTTCGAACTCTCGAACTATTCACTCAGCCACTGTGTCGCCCAGTAGTCTTCAATCTCTTCAAAAATTTCAGGGTCTAATTTCTGAAAAAACTATTACCGCCTGAAAAATACTATAATTGTTCAGTAATAACTAAAATGACAACTTGTGTGACACCGACATTATTTGCCTCTTGACTTAAGTTAAGAGTCCTCTGAGTGATATGTTTACCTTCCCCACCACGATCATGATGAGCGCATTGGACAGCTCCTCCAGTTTTCGGCCCTGAGCCAAAGTGAACGCCTCCAGACACCAACCGTCTGCAAACAGATATTTGCTTGTGTTTAAGCAAAAATAATAATGAAAAAACATATTTGTTAATCTCCCCTGAAGAGCATAAAAAGCAAAGTTAAATTTGTGACATTATTGACTCAACCAAGAAAATCCACCGACCTATAAGAATCTTCTACATGACATAATGAAACATGACATCCAGTTAGAGAAAATCAAATTTGAACTGGGAGGAAGGTTAAGCATTTTATTTAACATGGGATTCTGGAGTACTTTGGCAATCACATAAACATTTAGGTACTAATGCTGTCATGTGACCCCCCCCCCCCCCCCTCTTTCTCTGTGTGTGCATGTTTGGCATGTGTGGATGCGGACGTATGTTTTTTGGTACATGTACATATTATTCTATTTCTATGTCAATACAATTATGCTATATACCAGTGGTTCTCAAACTTTTTACACCAAGTACCCCCTCAGAAAATACTTGCCTCTCCAAGTACCACCACAAATGACCAACACCACACAGTAGCGTAATAAGCCTAAGTATTTTTCAAAAACAAGGCAGAGGTTTCATTCCTAAAGAATATGCTCCTTCTACATGGAACGTGTTGCAAAAAGACTGGAAATGATCAGAATTTATATCATAGAATGGTTACATTTGTGACATTATTGGCTCAACCAATAATGTCAGTTGGTAGAGCAATGGCCTTTGAGCCTGAAGGTCGTGGGTTAGAGCCCACCATGAGACCTACTTCACCACCTGCAGGAGAATCAGTGAGGGGATGGTGCTCTGTGTACTGGGTGCAGCCCAGAAATGGATTAAGGGGAAGAAAATGGATGGATGGATGAGAGCACTTGAGACATCTTCAGTGAAATGTAACTGTTTTTATAATCAGTAGTTTTATGAAACTGTATGTGACTGTTTTATAATCTGTAATCGTATGTCATTTTTGTACAGGACTCCCTTGAAAAAGAGGTTCTCATTGACTGCCAGCCATTTTTGATGACTTCTCTGATTTTCAAGACTCACAGAATATTGTGTGCTATGACTATGAACAATATGAAACCAGACTCTGAAAGACAGGACTGTGTACTTTCAGTGGAAAAAAGAAGTTTGTTTTTATCTTGTTTAGTTCTCCTGTGATCTCCAGTCGAAAAGAGGGGAGTGTGAAAAAAAGCACCAGTCTTAGACAAAAAGCTGAGAAAATGAGGTGTTTGTGAAAACAGACGAACCTGCAGAAAAGTGACTGTAACACTATTTAGTTTAACTTTAGCATCTCCTCAAACATGTCCAGGATCATACATGTTAGAAAACAGCAACAACACGTTATGAGAAAGTGTTTTTGATTCAAAATAATATGTTTTATGGCACACACACCCACATCCACAAAGTGTTGCTCGAATATTTCAAAATGTACTCCAAAAAACATTTCCATATTGAAAGTAGAGCCCATGACAAACTATCCCAGAAAGAATGGCCAGTATTTATCCATTAGGTGGCGCTATATTCATGTCAATAAGAGTAAATCAGAGATTACAATGATAAACACTATAAATGACAATAAATCAAAGTGAACAGACAATACACTTATACTATAAGTGCAATAGAATACTGTTGTGTGTCTTTGTGTGTTCCACATGGTCTGTGTCAGCTCTGGAGACACATTTACTGCTAAAACTGCCTCCAAATGTAGCCTGATCCTGACTATATTCCTCCATGTCTGCTTCACCTCTGTCTCTCCTGCTCAGAGTGCTCAGACAGTGATCTTTGACCAAGACACCCACAGAGTTAGTCTCAATTGGACTTTTCCTTGATTTTTTTTTCAGTGATACTTTGCCGTACCCCTAGAGGGAGCCTAGGGGTGCATTCCCCACTTTGAGAACCACTGCTATATACAATTATGTTACTGTTGTTTGTGAATGATTCTCAATAAAAAGATGAATGGATTTTTGGGACAATACCTTTCAGGAACTGCTTGGACACCACACACAGAGTCTTCCTACTCCCCCACATTGCGTCACGAATGTTGACCAGATGATCTTCTCCTGGCAGAAAATCCCGTGCCTCGAAACAGCATTTGAACAAGTTTTCCTCTGAAAATTCTGAGTCCAACCTTTTGAGCAAAGCCATTTCTACCCAGTTATAATCAGCATCAGAGTGGCAGACAAAAGCGTCATATCGATAGTTCTCCTGAAGTTCCGGCGGCTTTGGTCCGTCTAGGACACGACCAGCCACTTTTTTGTACAATACAAAGATACGACCTCGCAAACGGGCATAAACAAGCGCACCCAGAAGCGTTCCGACAACTGCAATAGCGCTAAATATGAACAAAACTAACCGGAGCTCTTGCATTGCCTTCTCATCGTCCTCTTCGCATGGCTCTATGACGTTGGCGTAACTTAGCAAAGGTACATTTTGGAGCGAGGATGGGAAAGTGCAGCTCAGATCTTTTCTTGGAGTGAGGAACGTTATGTTGGTGCTGTTAAGCCATTCCAGAAAGCCCTCCAGGTTACAGTCGCAGTAGAAGTGATTCCCGGCTAAGTCGATGTAAGCCAAACTTCGGAATGTGTCTGGATTTGGAGTGGCTAAGAAATTGTTGGATAAATCAAGTATGTGCAGAGAACTTGGAAATGTGTCAGCCATGAGGTAAGTTAGGGAGTTAGATGATAGATATATTTCTCTAATAGAACGCAGACTGCTGAAGAGGCCTTGCGGGAGAGATTGGATGGAGTTGTATGAGAGATTGAGACCTAAAAGGTTACCAAAATGATCAAAGATATCAAGACAAAATCCATGAGACCATATAATCTGCAAGGAGCTGTCGTGGAGGTCAAGCACTAATAAACTATTGTTTGTAGAGGTACGAGGACTATGACACCATTTGATAAAGTTACCGCCAAAGAATAATGTCTCAAGATTTGGAAAGTATTCAACAATGGAAAATACTTCATCTAAAAAAGTCAATTTGTTGTCCTCCACTTCCAAGTGTGTTATGTTTCTTCCGGCTAGGTTGTTGATATTGTACAATGAACCCAATCGGTTGTCGTTCAAAAAGAGAAAGAGCAGTTTTGGTAAGTAGACAGTCGATGTTAACTTTCGTAGTGAGTTACTATTTAGATTCAGCCACAAAAGAGAGGACAGGCCGCTGAAGGATTGGTGTCCCAAGGCACCAATGTGGTTAAATGATAAATCTAGTATCCTCAAGCTGGTCAGGTGCTGAAATGTGTCTTTATAAATTTCTCCAATAAGATTTTCAGACAGGTTCAACAATTGCAAACTGTTCTCAAGGCCCCTAAACGCCCCCTGGTGTATCTGATTGATTTTGTTGTGGCATATGTTAATAATTTTTGCATCGGTTAATGGGCTAAATACAGATGGCTGCAGCGAAAAGATGAAATTATTAGATAGATCGAAGGCTTCAAGTGAACTGTTCTGAAGGCCTTCGAACGTTTTCTTATCGGGATCTGGCAAATTGTTAAAGGAAAAGTTACGCCCCAGCTTTCCAGAGTGGTGCAAAGATTTGATTACCGTCCCAGCGATTGCTTTTAAGAATAGACGAAAATTAGTTGTATTAAAACCTACTCCGGACAGGTCGAGTGTATCGAAAGCCATGTTTCTAAATGGGTTTCCACACTGCTCCCAGTCAAAATCATCTGTTAGCATAGTGTTGTACAACTTATTATAGGCTAGATTAAATTGCGTGAAACTCTTCCCTTGAAAACCAAAAAGATCATCTTCACACAATCTGTCAATTTGGTTGTTTTTAAGATCAACATTCTTTAAGTTTCTGATTTGGAAGAAAAATGTTGCTGGGCGTAGTCTAACGATGTTGTTAGAGGATAAACGAAGTGTCTTGAGAGACTGCAGCGGTTGCAGGTAGTTCCCTGACAATATGGAGTCGTTCAGATTACAATAGGTCAGATCTAGCTCTTGTAGATTGTACAATCCGGCAAATGCTCTTGGCTCCAACATTAAATCAAGGTTGGAATCCAGAATGAGAGTTTTCAGTTGTTTCTGACTTAGAAAAGCATTGTTTCGGATCACCAAAGGTCTTCTCTGAGCCCCCAAGGTCACACGCTCCAAGAGACGCAGGCCCCGTAGCGACGCGCTGTGCAGTTCTGAAATGTTGTTGAAATCCAGGTACAAGTTCTCCGTGTAATTGGGCAGCACTGGCACTTCTGTCAGATTCTTGAAACTGCATTGTGCGGTCGCCTGACTCATCTCACAGGGCACAATCACTGATACCTGCAATAGGAAAGCACAGCGTAGAATCACATTCTATTTTACACCTAAAAAACGTGAGCATTGTGTATATTTTGTTTGAATGGAAAAGAATTCTATCGGGCTGATTTAAAGTGGTACTAAATCAATCCACACACAAAACATAATCCGTCTAACTAGTTCCGAGTTTCTGTCACTATTTTCACATGCATGGAAAAGAGTGAGGACCACCTTCACTAACAATCAAACAGCTCTTAGCCCAAAGAGACCAAACAGAATCTCTCAGGTCTCGTCGTCATATATTATTTGTAAAGGAATTGTACAAATAGTGTCATTATTAAAATGGATGTTATTAATTATTAACACAAGGCAAGGCACTTCCCGGTAACAATGCTAAACTAACTAAAAAAAGTCAGAAAAGTGTTTTAAGTAATCTTTATTTATATACCACCTTTTCACTGCACATCAGAGTCTCAAAGCGGTTTACAATTGTTATTTTTTGAGAGTGGGGGTGCCAGTACAGGAGGCACATGCCAGACCTATTGTACATATTTTTAGTGATAGGGGAAACCGGAGCACCCGGAGGAAACCTACGCAGACACGAGGAGAACATGCAAACTCCACTCAGACAGGGCCTGGTCCAACCGGGATTTGAACCCAGGACGTTCTTGCTGAGAGGCGAGAGTGCTATCCACTCAGCCACCGTGCCGCTAAAAATCGTACTCTTATTTTTAAAGACATTTTGTCTAGTCTGTTAAGTAGTTTAGTCTGGACTCTGAAGTATCCCATGGGGGATGTTGGTATCTATGAAGTATGAAATATTTATATTTGTTTTTTTGTTAGTCGCTTTCAAATTGTTGATTCAAGTTTGAGAATCAATTGGAATTAGCTCGTATTGTAGACATAAAAAATAATAATAAAAATATGTATAAATCCCATTTAATAATGCATAAACTAAATCAAGGATATTCAAATTACATTTTCCTGAGGGACAGATGTTTTCAGATGCCCATCCTAGAAGACATTTGATATATATACGTAGGTTGATATATGTATTCTTTTTGACAGAATCTGCTATGTGTGTAACAAAATGAACCAACATTGCTCAAACTAACTAATATTGAACATATGAGGGAAAAAATAGGATGAATATAGAATAAAACTTGGCTAAACCAGAGCATCTGACTGTTCATTCGGCCTGATTTAGCCTCAAAACACAGGTTGAATCGGTCTGATCTAGGCTACATGATCTAGGCTACATCAGAGCAAAGACTCACCTCTCCATAACAGAGCCATGGTCCATACAAACTGAGCATGAGGAAAAGCAGCCTTCCGGGATCCATGTTCAGAGAGAAAATCACTGCATATTTACACAAACCAGCACAGGAGGTCAAGGTCCACTCCCTCCATGGGGAAACTCCACTCCGTTGGTTCTTTGTAGGCAGAGTGCAGTGCTCTTATCTGTAACACACACATAAAAGATAAAACATTCTTGTTCAAATTGAGTTCACTACACTTTTGGAAATCACAACGTCATCTAGAAATATTTATCTGCTTCTGCTTTTTGCATAGAAACTGGAAGGTCAAACATTTACAGGTTTCTTTTGAGTATTGGTTTGCAAATTTAGTGTAAATACAAATACATCTATAATCTGTTTTTATGTGTGGCACAATTATACATGTTTCAGAAGGCAAAGAAAAGCCACGAACATAAGAAAATAAAAAGCTTGTGACAATACTAAACCTGAGAGGTTGTTTTTCCTCAAGTCCAAACTCGTTCACGTCTGTTATCAGCTATTTCAGGTATGGTTACTTTATTACAGCCATAAATCGCCTTGTAATCACATTTTCTCATTTAATTTGAGGTTTTTGTCGTGGGTCAAACTTACCTCCATGTCATGCAGGTAGGACTCGGCTCCAGCTCAGTTTTTTAGCGGGGAGACGTATCGCTCGTGGCCGCTCTTCTCTTCACACACACGGGCTGCAGGTTGGCCACTCTCCCCGGGAGCTCTGGAGGAAATATCTGAAGGAACCCCTGACGTCTCTTCGCGGTAAATAAACAGGAATTAGTATTTCTCAATTTCCTTATAGTCTTACCTCATACTTCCCAACTGTGGGCTAACGTCGTCTTCTGTTATTCTGCAGTCGTAAGATTAGACGTAACTTTACAAAACGTACAAATATTGTCATCTTCATTTATATAAAGACTTTCATAAAGCCACAAAGCAAGTATAGGGCTAACATTGTAGATATATTTAAGTTAAAACACTGTTATACTAGAAATAAAAACCGACAGCTCATTGGCGTCTCATGCAGTTCCATAATGTGTCCACACGAGGGCAGCATTTATCAAGTAATACCAACAGCTGTACAAAACTTCCAAGTCATGACATTTGTTTATCATTTTATTAGACAATTACAAAATATAAAGCACGTTTTCTTCCTTTCATCACAAGAATATAAGGTGCTTCATTGTGCTGCGTAGTGTGCAGTGCATTGTAGGGCAGCAAAGCACTATTGTAGTGGTCACAATTAGCATATCACAAAGACTGCAATTACATTTCCTTCAAAACAGGACATTAACTTGTTTCATATGATGATGATCTGGCTATCCCTGTGTCAAGGTAGCATTTCTCTTAATTTGAGATCATTTTGACAAGACTTGACTTTTCTATTAGCTGATAAGGCTGTCTTATCTAACTTAGTGAGAAGAACTTCAACTGTGAAAATATTATCAGATAGATAAATACAACTTTTCAGGCTGTGTTTGAATTATTTGATTCTCTAATCTGTAAAGTCGTCCGGGACGACTGCTGTTGTGATTTAGACCTATACACAAATACATGGACTTGAATTTAGTTTTAGTTTAACCTCAAATTAAAAGGATAATTTAGTGCCCAAGCTGTCCAAGCTTTAAAACAGAAATCACAAATCTAACCAAATCGCTCATCCGAAAAATAGCATTAACATTTCTTTCAAACCGTGCTGCTGTAGCGCTGTCTCATCATACTGGCTGCAATATTTTTTTAGTTTGTCTCTTATTTGGTGTATGCCATTGTACCCTTGACCAAAACACCTCACTATGTTGCTTACTTTAAATGGGTCTTCATTTAAACTGAAATGCACTGCTTATAAACATTCACATGTCACAATGATACAAATCACATTTTGAGGCCCTCTGCTTTAAAAGGTTGTAATGCTTTGTATCTTATAATAATAAAACACAAACATAGAACAATTATGTTTAAAAATCTACATGTTTTTATATGTACATATTATACATTATGTGTATAGAAACATTTACAAAAGACCATGACTGTAAAAAATCATGACATTCTGCTAAATAGTTAAAATAGTGGTTCAATGGAACGATTCAAGGCCTTTCACAGGATTTTCAAGAAATGGAGGACAATCATGTTGGAACATTGCAGCAACCTGGATGAGTCCCTGATGTGATAAGAACTTGACTGAGGTGGTTCTGGGGCTGGTTTAATTCTGACTTTTGTCTGTACATTCATGGTAATAGAATAATATTGTGACCATAAGCTTTTTAGCACGTATCTTTTTTCATGTGACCATTAGAGCTCTAGGGCCTCGTTTATAAAACATGCCTTCGTACAAAGATGCTACGCAGACTTTCCAAGTTTGTAATTTACAAAAGTTTATATATAAATTAGTAAATTGGTCAAAACACTTTCAGAGACGTGACAAAATGTGATCAGTCCCCACAAAATACTGTTTGTAACGGGAGAATGTATATGGAAGTTTTTGTTTTTTTACATTTATAGTGAAATTAAGGCCCATGATTAAGTTAACTCTATGTTTTTTGTTTTTAATTTTACGTCACGGTTTCAATGGTCACTTGCTGCAGATTCTGTGCCTCCGGTCCTCCTGAAGACTTCGCTGTTGCGGGACTGTCTGGTTTTGCTTTACCATACAAAATGTGATGCAATAGAAAAACAGCCAGTAAAACAAAGAAAACAGTGCATATTATGATCCCGACGAGGCCTCCGACGCTCACAGCTGAGGGCCGGTGTGTGGGCGCCGCGCTGAATACCTCCATGGGCTCTGTGACCATTTCAGCACCACCACTGCCTTTCTCACACATCTCTTTATCCACCAGGGTATAGCCTTGGTCGCAAAAGCAAATGTAGCTTCCAAAAGAGTTCTCACAGTGATGATCACAGTTATCATAGGAATCGCATTCGTCTATGTCCAAACAAATAGAATGATCTCCTCGTTCCTCAAGTATGTACCCCTCGGGGCAGTAGCACTGGTATTTGTTATTAGGGTCACATTGAGCGGGACATTCAACCTTTCCACAATACAACATACAATCATTTGGCGAGATGGGGTTCACCTTGTAGCCTTCATAGCACGAACAGTCATAACCCCCTGGTGTGTTATTGCAAATGTGTTCACAAGGGGAAGATATGCATTCATTGATATCCACGCATGTTCCCCCATTGAGCCGATAACCACTTTCACAAATACAGTCAAAGCCGCCTGGAGTGTTGACGCATTTCTCTTCATCCGCCGGACACTGCCTTTCGTCTGAACATTCGTTGAAATCTATGCAAGACCTGCCATCGTCAGCCAAGACAAATCCATTGTTGCAAGTGCATAAAAATGAATTGTAGAATTTGTAACAAGCGTGAGCACACTTGAGCTGCAAGCATGGGTCATCATCAGCAGGTTCGCAAGTCCGATCATTCGCAGGGTTGACGATGGAACCTGGTGGGCAGTAGCACACGGGTATGTTCTCAGGATTCATCGTGCACTTGTGTTCGCAACCTCCTTGCTGGATTTCACATCTCCATGGCGCTTTTAGCCACTGTCTGGATGCGCACACCTGTCTTGTCTCGTCTGGAAGTTCCGCAATGCTACCCGCCGGCAAGGATGTGGCATCGTCAACCGTAAAACCGTAAGGTGTGGTGTAAACGACTTGCATATTTTTGAAGCCGACGCACAAGTCTTGGGAAACAAACTCGCATAAAAAGCCATTTTTTGATTGTTCACAAAAGTCTTCACGCCACTGGAAGTTGTTGTCGTTGGATACGTATATACAGTAAGAGGACGAAGAGGAGCAGCTGCCCATGGATACATCTTCTGCCCAGTTAAAGAAGTCACTTGTTGTGTCTTCAGTGATCCACTGGAATCCTCTCAGATTTGATGTGGTGTCGGGACAGCCTGCAACAAGACACAAAGATTAAGTTAAAATTCCAGTTGTCTTCCAAGAGTCTTAATCATAAGCAATACATTCTCTAATGCTTAACAAAGACAATGGTTTGGAAACCTACAATTTTGTTCCCTAAGTCCGTATGGGTGAGTCACATGTTGATCAGGGACAGACAAGATCTGCCAGAATCAGAACAGACATGGGCAGAAAAATATAGAACAAAAATACACAGGCGACAGAAATAGTGCAAAATTATTGAATGAAGCACAAATTGTTATCATCTCATTCTGAGTTTGATGAGAGACGCAGACCAGGAGGCTGTAACCAGACTGACAGATCTTCTGTGCAGAATATACAGAGAAGCAGTCAGGCTTCAAGACTCACACTGCTCAAAGTCCTCAGATATAAATACTTTTATGACTTCAGGCACTGGCAGACAGGGACACAATGCTCTGTGCATACATACTTTATTTTTTACTCAACGTCATTCCAACTACACACCATTTAAAGACAAATCAGGCTAAAATAAACTATATGTTAAAGTCAATCAGATGCATCCACATTCTTTACATTAACTGTTTCTGTTACATTATGCATAATATTAGTGCACAAGTATTTAGTTTGTGAGCATAGGTCTCCCTTAGACTTGGCATTTGGCTCCTCTTACATTTGAACATTTGTACCCACCTTCTGGGAGGTGTAATCCAATCCAGTGCTGCCCACTGCTGTTCCCCAGTAATAAGGACAGAGTGTCATGAGCCACAGAGGAGCGCACTGTCATGAGGTTTCCTTTGTGCTGCTGACAGATGTCCTGCGCTCCACTGAAGTCCAATGTCAAGTCAAAAACTGCAATACAACTGTTTCCAATGCAGTAACCTCCTTTGGGCTGTGTCCCCCGGGCCACCCCCGAGAGCAGCCACACAAGCAGCAGAACATCCCTCATCTTCTGCAGTTTGACTGGCTAACTGCTCCAATGTTTATAAGCAGCTGACACCATGTTGATGAGACTCTGAGGAGGAAGGAAGTTTGTCCTATCAGCCCTCGGACTGTCCACAACTCCACTCTGAAGTGCACTAAAGTGACGGGAGTCAGAGAGAGAGTCACATTCTTAAAACCCCCTCCCCACACCCAGGCTCCTCCTCCTTGTTCGCTGCCCTCCAACTCTGAGTAAACAAACTGGATCCACTCTTAAAGGGACAAAAGCAGCTACTGATACTTTAAAATCTATGTCACATAGACGAGCTTTACATTTCAACAATATCAAACCATCAAAGTACATTCATCTTATTTATTCATTCATTTGAACAGTATTAATACTGCTCAAAAGGAGTGGGCAGAAACAAAAAGCTTATGAGCAACGCCACCCCCAAATTCAATGGGGGTCCCAATGAAAATACTACAGACCAAGGATATAAAGGCCCAAAAAACAAACTACATCTGCACATCCTCGATTACAGATTAATCAACAATTTAGATACAATTGGCTAGACTTACTGAGATAGCCTTGAACCATGTATTTTAACTAAATTATTCCATGTCAAATTTAAACATGTCTACATCTTTACTGCTTCTCCATACCCTATAATATGAATACAATGAAGGAAAAACTTTTTATTAGGGTTTTGATGTATTTACTTATTTGGCCGTCAACATGACATTTTTGTACTGAAAAGTAAAGAAAAAAAATATACAAAAGATTATGACTATTCTGCGTGAAAATAAATGCACAGTAAATGCAACTGCAGATTTGAGTCGGATAAGATTCAGTGAATAAGGGCGGCTTATGGATTTTTTTTCTAAATTCTGTTTTTGAGATGCCAATATACAGTATATATAGCAGGTAGAGCAAATGAACCAGCCTATAACTATTTGTCGAGAGCAGAACTCGAGGAAACACAAGTAGCTTCTGTCCATTTCCACAGGTCAGTGCATACAATAAAAGTCATGGTTGGGGTAAATATTCTTAGCCCTGGAGGTCTGAAAGGTCTGCTGACTGAGCTCCTGCATGAACATGAGTGAGCAGAGGAAACCCACACAATGCAGGAGAGAAGAAGGGTGGGGAATGAATGAGTCATGAATGCACGCTCACTTTTCTCCCAGTCTTTGTTTTAATATGGACAATAATCCAGGGTTGAATAGGGGATGCTAAAAACAGTGTGTGCGCAAAGCTGTTATAATAGTCCTTTACAAATGTCAAATGTATAAACACACAGACACAACTTTTGTTTTTGTCTAACTGTAAAGTAACATTCAACTGTGCTCTGCTTGTTTCTAGATTGTATATGCAATGTCAGTTTCTATTTTACAATTGATGATCCAGGACACCAGACATTCAACATTTATGGACATTTAAGGACATTGGTCACCTGTCCCTTATGGACCAATGGCTCTGTGTGTTTTTATCATTGCATTTCTCGTGTTTGAACTGTTTGATTCTCTGATCTGTGTTGGTGAATTCAGCCGTTTTGTTAAGTCCTCCGAGATAACTACTGTTGTGATTTCGGGCTATACAAGAATAATCTGAATTGAATTGAATATAATACATATTTTTTGTAATCAATGTTACCCATCTTTCTCATATTAACATCTTTCGCATGTGTTATTAGAAATGATTTATAAATAACCAGATAACGACAGAAAGCGCTTTTATTTCTTGTACAAACATGGGACCACTTGTTATAAGCAGCAGCTGCAAATGGTTTACATTCATATGTTTAGTGTGTCGTTCATCAGCAGTGGAAGAAAATAACACAGCAAATTTAGTGGTGAGTTTTCCTCAACATTACATAAAAAAATAAATAATGTGAACAGTAAGAACTAGCTCCAGTGTGCGATACGTTGAGAAACTGATCTGTTTTCTATTTGAGTGCAGACTACATTGTTTATGAAGTACAGGTCGGAAGTGCGATCTAACAACTTCTCTCTGAAGTCACATTTCGCAACACTGCAGCTTTAGTGCTGTGTAGAAAACTGTCTCTACATGTCAGTATATCTTCAATAACATGACTTCTCTTCTCCACAACATACATTATTGTTCATTTGAAGTGCCTTAGTACCATTCCATCAGTGCATTCATGCTGTTTAGCGTATTTAACTTGTGTTGCTTGAATAAGATTCTATTGCAATACGGATATGATCTGTTTTGAGTAGTGGTTTGCACATACTTCAGATGCCTTTTAAGTCTCTGAAACAGCATCTTTTATAACATTATTTCTGTGCTCCACCCTCTTGAACAGGTGTTTGTCCCATGATGTTACAGTCTGTGGCAATCATTCCTGGACTGCCAGTCGTGGGACAGTTGTTTGTATGTTTCTGTGGAGACCTGCTGCAGGGTGAAGATCTCCATCTCCCGTTTGAGGGAGTAGAAGCTGACTTTGGTGCAGTGGATGAAAAGCCTCTGAAGCAGATAGAAGAGCAGAGCAGCACAGAGCAGAGCGAACACAGTGATGCCCAAGATACTGCCCGTCTTCACATATGGGGGGACCACAGAGGGGTGGGCAAAGGCCAGGGTGGGCTGCGCCCGACCCAAAACCCGAATAGGTTCAGTGAGCTTACAGGAGTACCCGTCCTGCTGCAACTCAAAGCCTTCTTCACACTCACATATGTGCCCCCCAAAAGTGTTGTAGCAGAAGTGATCACACCTTTCCTCCTCACACTCATCTATGTCTGTGCAGACGGTTTCCTGGTCTCTGTGGTCCAATATGTAGCCATCGGGGCAGTAGCACTGGTTTGAACTCACACATTTAGCAGGACAGTCCTGCTCTGGGCAGAACTCCTCACACTTAGTGGGGTCTTTTGGATGAACCCTGTAGCCCTTCTTACACACACAGACCAGTTTCCCCAGCACTTCATCACACTCATGTTCACATTTATAGCAGATGGACTCCACACAGACCCCGTCCACCCGGTCGTATTCGTCTTTGCATATACACTTGTAGGACCCCTCATCGTTCTCACACTCCTCACCTGGGCCAGAGCACAGAGTCGCGTTCTCAAGACACTCATTCACGTCCTTACAGTGGCCCTCAGGCTGCCACCTGAACCCCTCTGGACAGCTGCACCTCCACTCGCCGTCCTGATTTACGCAACCGTGCGTGCACTTGGCGCAGGGGTCCTTTGTGCACGTTAATTTATTGTGATGTAGAGAGTATCCCGCAGGACAAGTGCACACGTGTGGGTTTACGCATGCATGCTCGCACCCACCCTTCTTCACCTCACAGTTCCAGGGCGCGCGCATCCACTCCGTGCCTGTGCAGATGTGTTTGGAGATTGGAGGCTGGTCTGGCCCGCGCACCTCAGCCAAAGTCCCTGGTGGGTACATAGGCTGTACCTCAAAGCTCCAATCAGTGGTATAGTTTATGTACACACTCTCACTTGAAAGCAGAGGCCCACAGATTTGTGTGTACTGACAAAAGAAGCCGTCCAGTTCGTCCGCGCACGAGGTCATCTCAACAAAGCCAGAAGAGAAGACGCTGCACCCCGCGGCTGCATCTGTATTTGCGATCCAAACGCGACCGTCCGTCACCGGCAGTTTCAAAGGCTCCTGCTGTCCCTCCTTGTACAGCTGCCCCATGGTGTTCACGCAGCGCCTCTCGGCCTCAGTAGAGTTCACCGACTCAATGAAAAGCGCATAACACTTTGTGCCCGCGCAGTGTCCGGACGGCCCTTCCGAAGCCGCGCATAGAAACAGGACGCACAGCGGCAGTGCGCGCTTTGACAGAAGCATCATGTGATTCATAAAGTTAAGCTCCACTCCGCGGCTCGAGCACGATCTGGGATTTGCGCATAGTGCCTGTTTATAAGACTTCTGCAGGACTTTAGGAAGGAAGTTGCGTCCCGGGGCTGGCAGTGCTTGAAGCCCCTTGATTGCTCAACCCCCCATGACCTTATCTCCAGAAAAAGGGAGACCTCCGCAGTGCGTAAACTCCTCACTGATGTTTTATTAAGGATGGACAGAATCGACACCCACTCCTCACTCAGGCATTTCCTCTGCTTTACACAGGGCTAGAGGAGGGTCCAGGCTTGCGTCATTGCATAATAATCACATTAATCTCAGTCTGCAATTAGAAAAACGTGACCCGTGGAACTGTCCCTATAGGTTTTTACATTTACATTAGTTCAATGGGTGTCACATCCACTGAACTAATGCAAGTAAAGACTAAATAAAGTGTAACAAAATGTGATGTAATTTTCAGTAAGGCACTTTACATTTACAAGAAAAAAATTGACCCAGGTAAAACTTTAATTTTATACAAAAGGCTTGAATCCTTTTATTTTATACATGATGAATCTATAAATAAATAAACTAGGTAATTCTAACTAAGAACTAGGTAATTCTAACATATGAACTAACCTTCTAAGATAGAAGGTTAGTTCATATGCCTCAAACACAAGAACCCCAGGACCATAGTGGCCCTTTAACTGATTTTTAGTGTGATTAAAATGTGAACCAAGAAATTTGAGTTTCAGTTTTGGTAAACAAGCAGTAATTAATAGTTACCTAATGTAACTTAAGTTCTACGAATAGGTGCGTAGTCCCTTAGCGGACTTCGCTAGTGGGATATCACGTGACCCCCAGGTCACACGCCAGAGAGATCAAAATAATTTGCTCCAATCACTAGCGACCCTCCTCTATAAAGGCCCTTGCACAAGGCCGCACCCCCAAGCCAGCCCTGATGGGCTCGTAGCTAAGGGACTACGCACCTATTCGTAGAACTTAAGTTACATTAGGTAACTATTAATTCTACGTCATGGTGCTACGTCCCTTACGGGGCCGCTCCTCCCAAGGACACCCCCAAGTAACACCAACCAAAAGTCACCCGTAGTCCCAGGACGCCTCTCCCAAGAGCTCCTGACGTGGACCACCCAACTGACCAACACCCCTAACACCGCACCTACAGGATGCCTCTCCCAAGAGCTCCTGAACTAGGGCGGAAGGGCAAACCGTAATCTCATAGACGAAGAACCCATGATTCCAATCAGTTCGCTGCACCAAGCACGGAGTGAGCCACCGACCGGTCCGACACATCCAACAGGTAAGACCGGACAAAGGAAGAGGACGAAGCCCAAGAAGCCGCACGGCAAACGTCCTCCACCAAAGCCCCCCTAAGGAGGGCCGTAGAAGCCGCCACTCCACGCGTGGAGTGCGCCCTAAAACCCACCGGGGGCGTCAGGCCCTGAGTTTGATACGCCATCCGTACAGCCGAAGCGACCCAGTGTGCCAGACGTTGAGACGACAGCGGGTCGCCTCTGTTCTTGGGGCCCAGATACACAAACAGCTGATCCACCAGTCTGAAGGAAGATGTCAAGGTCAGGTAACGCCTAAGCATTCTGACAGGGCACAGCAGGTGCCGTCGCTCCTCCTCGGGGGAGGAGTGCGGCGGCGGATGGAAAGCCCTAATCCTGATCTCTCTCGACCTGAAGGCCAAAGTAATGACCTTAGGGAGAAAGGCCGGATTGGGCCACAACTCTACCAGCCCGTCCCCCTCTCGAAAGGACAGACAAGACGCATGTATGGAGAGCGCAAACAAATTGCCCGCCCTCTTAGCAGACGCCAACGCCAGCAAGAGGGCAGTCTTAAAAGCAACACACTCGGGACTCGCCTCCGACACTGGTTCAAAGGGCGGGCCCGACAGACCCCTAAGGACCACTCTGAGGTCCCACACTGGGGGCGTTCTCTGAAGCGGGGGCCTCTTCCTGCAGGCCCCCCGCAAATAACGTTTCACCAATGAGAACGGGCCGTGAACCCATCGAAGCCACCGTGACCCGAGGTGAAGGCTGCCGCGAACACCGCTAGGGTACCGACAGCCCTCCCTTTTTCAAAGAGTTCCTGTAGAAAGCCCAGGACTCCCTCCAAGGGGCAGTGCCTGGGATCCCAAGAACGAGCACTGCACCAGACGCTGAAGAGCCTCCATCTGGTGTAGTAGGCTCTCACCGTGGACGGCGCCCTCGCCCCCTGAATAGTCTCCACCACCGCTGGAGGAAGACCCAGGTCTACGAGGTTCCGCCTCTCAACCTCAAAGCCCAGAGCCTGCGGCCGATAAACGGGCGTGAGAACAGGGCCCCCCCCCCTTGGACTAAAGCTCCATCACCGACATGCCCCTCAGGAAGGGAAACCACCGGGCATGCGGGCTGTCCGGAGCCACCAAGATCACCGATCTCCCCTCCTGCTCGATCCTCCGCAGCAGGACCGGCAAGAGACGAACTGGTGGGAACGCATACAGCAGGCCCCCTGGCCACGGGTAGTGAGCCATGGCGTCCACCCCTAGGGGTGGCTAGTCCGCGGCCCTTAAGGCGTACCAGGACGGGCACTGTGCGTTCTCTGCACTGGCGAAAAGGTTGACCCCTGGACGGCCGAACCTCCGCCAGATCTCTGCAGATATCCGCGGGGCCAGGCCCCACTCGTCCTGGAGTGGGCCCCCCCTGGACATCCTGTCGGCCCCCACGTTCCGGGCACCCGGGATGTGGCGTGCTCTTAGGGACAGGAGGTGAAGTTCTGCCCATAGCAGAATCACCGTGCGATGGAGAGCGGGGGATCTGGTGCCTCCCTGTCTGTTCAGATAAGACACCACCGTGGCCTTTATTGAAAACATTCTTGCCACCCCGGCCTCCTCTACCATAGGGAGGCCGGCGGTGGGCACGTTGCTCCCGCGAGCCTCCCGTGGGTCTGTCCGGGCCTGGGGGTCTCGTCGAGGGGAGACGGTGAGTGGCGGAGCGAGGATAGGGATCGGAGCGCCTCCTGGGCGAGCGCTCTCTGCCTCTGTCTCTGCTCCGAGACAACTGGTGGGCCTCGCGCCTCGGAGCTAGGTGCGGAGCTAGCCTCGCCAAATCCTTCGCTGCAGACTCAAGTCTCTCCACCAGGGCCTGCATGTCCGGGCCGAACAGGGAATCTTGGGAGACGGGCAGGTCCAGCAGTTGCCTCTTCTCCGTTTCCCTGATGTTAGCTAGCCCAAGCCAAAGGTGCCTGACCCCGACTTGGGCTGCCGCCATGCTGCGTCCACCATCCACAGCAAGCGCCTGGCTCATGCGCAGGAGCGCCGCGGAGGTGGTCCTCGCCTCCGAAAGACGGTCCCCGCTGAGTGACTGGCCAGCGGAGAGCGATCTATCCAGCGCCCCCGTGAGGAACGCCATGTTGTTCGCGACGACCTGAGCCGCATTGGCGTAACACCTATCCAGCAGTGCCACAGACATCCTATCCCGCTTGGAGGGAAGGAGAGGTCTGGTGCCGGGCCACACAGATGAGGAGGGGAGCAGGGCCTTGCGGACAGAGTCCTCGATCTCCGGGACGCCACCGGTCCAGGACCAGTCCTGCACGTTGCAGTACATCCCATAACCCAAGGCAGGCCTCTTGGCTGCCAGAGGTTTGGACCACTCACGCGTCGCGTAATGGAGGATCGGCTCCATTCGCGGGCACAGTGTGGGCTGCTTCCTCCTCCTCCCTCGAGGTGCGGCGCCAACAGAGGTGAAGTCCACCACCGCTTGGTCTGGCTGTGGTGGGAGGGGGGTCCCCATGATGGCCGCCGCGGACGAGTAGAGACCCGGCATGTGGTCCAGCGGGAAGCGGTCCGGCTCCGGGTTGGAAACCACCTCGTCCAGGGTGATGAGCGAGCCGTCCTCCGAGTCTCCAACCTCGCAGTCTCCCCATTCCGCGGGCACAGGAAGAAGGTCGAGTGGGGCCCAGTCAATCTCGGACCCTTCGTCCTTAGAAGAGTCCGGAGGGGGCATCGTAGCGGCGTAGAATGCTCGCCTGCTTTCGCTCTCCTCCCTGGGGAGAGCGAGACACAAGGCGCAGCTAGCGCTTTCAGCCGCATGGCCCGAGCCCATGCACGTGAAGCAGCTGGCATGCTGATCCGTGCAGTGAAGCTTGACTCGACAGGTGGAGCACCGACGACGTCCGACACCGGAGGGCGAAGGGGAACTCGGACGTGCAGTCGGGGTAGACATCTCTGACATTAAGTACGACGTAGAAAGGTAAGATCTCAATCGGCGCCAGAGTGAAAGAGGGGGTGCGGCCTTGTGCAGGAGCCTTTATAGCTAGTGATTGGAGCAAATTATTTCGATCTCTCTGGCGTGTGACCTGGGGATCACGTGATATCCCACTAGCGAAGTCTGCTAAGGGACGTAGCACCATGACGTAGAACAGACAAACCTAACTAAAAATAATATCCAAAATCATGGTGTATAACAGTAACACTTAAAATACCTTCATAATGTTAAATATGAATGTGCACAAAAATCTTTAACTTTTAACAAATGAAATACCCTTTAATCCTTTTTAGATAAACATTAAAGTACGGCTTTGACCAGAATGACGTTCCTGGTTTATATCGACAATTACAGATGAGTTCAAGTTCTATAGCTTTACACAGAATCCTCAGCACCCCGAACTCTGGAACGACCTGCCCGAGGAGATAAGGCTAGCACCATCAATATCCTCTTTTAAATCACTTCTTAAAAAACACTTTTATCAAACAGCCTTTAACTGCTGGTTTTAAACTTCACATGTCGTATTTTACTATTCCACTTTGTCTTTGTTTTGTCTTTCCTCGCACGTTCCCTCTGTCTGCTTTGTTTTTCTGTATCTACTGTTAATTATTTTGACTTTTTATTAGTATGACGTTTTTATTATTATGACTGTTTTTATAATTATGAAGTTTTTATTAGTATGACGTTTTTATTAGTATGACGTTTTTATTATTATGACTGTTTTTATAATTTTGACGTTTTTAT